TTTGTCTATATGCTTCATCTTGTGGAGAATGACCTTACTTACTAATTACACCTTGACACCATGCGTGATCGTTGATGACGACTTTCACACTAATTAGCGATTACTGTCGTCTCAGCTATGACGTCGCCAATGACCCCAGTGCAGAGCAACCCATGACCGGCAAAAACTTTGAGAACGGCTTTCGTGTGCAGCCCAGCTGCTGGACAAGCTTTGCTATCGAAGCAGCGGGAGCAGGCACCCCAGTGGGCCTCTGTCGGAGACACTTACAGTTAGGGTTTATAGGGCTTTAGGGTTTAGGGTCTGCGGTGTTAAGGGGGGAAGGATTTTGGGTTGTGGTGTTCAAGCTTGAGGTTTGGGGTGTTTAAGGCTTTGGGTAGGATTATGGGGGGCCGGGGGGGTTATGCTGCTGTCAGCTTTGTCATTCTTGTGATGACCTTGTTCGCTCTTAAGCCGCTGTGAATTGCGGCGGCCATCGTCGCAAGTTTGACTAACTGCCCTCCTGATTATTATTTACTCGTGCCAAGTGTGCGTCTTCTGACATGCTGCCGTTACGCATTTTCATGGTGATCGTGAGACACTGCCATCGTGCCGCCACCACCACACAGCAACCAGTTCGGGCTCTGAGGCTGCAGCGCCGGCCAATGGCGCGATATCGCCGCGCTGCCCACCAGTGGCGAGCTGTAGCAGAGTTTGGCCACCTAGGCTGGCAAGATGCCCAGCTTACATGGGAGTTTCCAAAAATAGGGGACCCTAATATAGTACCCTAAATAGTAGGATCCTTATTACAAGGACCCCCAAATAAGGTACCCCTGATTTTCGGAAACTCCCACATGGCGGGGCGCGGGGTTCTGTGACTCAGGCAAGGTAGCAGTTAGCACCTCAGGCCCTTCTTGGCGGATCGATCGACTTCGTTAGGGGCTTAGCGGGATGTAGGGCTTCACTTTATGGCTTTAGGATTTTAGGCTTCAGGGCAACTTTAGGGAGACTTGGTGGGCTTGGGACCCCCGCAAGATCTCCCGGTAAGCCTCAGCATGGCGAAACTGTGCACCCCAAGCCCCTCCCTGAAAGAACCCCCAAACTTCGCAACCCAAGAAACTCCTGTACGCAAAGTCGTGCCGAGTCTCGTATGGCTCGGGATTGTTCAACTCGACTTTCATCGGCACTTCTGGCGTCATCTCGTATGCCTGTCTGAAGCTGGACGCTTCACTGCGGGTTTGGGATTTGGGACTTGTGAGTTCAGAGTCTCTAGATCAGGATCCCTCATAGTTGATGAGACATGGCGTTGCATAGGGGGTGAGAGGTTCTAGGAGACTCTTCCCCAAGGGCTTGGGCTTTGGGGTTGTCGCATCTGAGCTACCAGGTTTACGAAGGGGATCTACAAGAAATGATATCCTAAACCCTAAACTCGTAAAGCTAGAGAAAACCTTAGAAGCAGGAGTTTGCGGTAAAGCCTGTAGGTGCGCTTCTATCCACCCCAAGAGCCCCGAGAAAAGACGGTGCAACCCTGAACCTTGTGACTCACCATGTTTGGACCTTCCTCAATACAACCAAAAACGTATCTGAAGATATCTGTATTATACATGTGTATGTATATATATATATATACACATACATATGCATGTTTGGACATCATACATACGTAGGTCAACCAACCAACCAACCAACCAACCAACCAACCAACAACTGAATGAATCAACCCAATCAACCCAATCCACCAAGCAATCAACCAATCAATAAACCAATCGGCCGAGCAATCAATCAACCAATCAGTCAATCAATCAACCAATCAGCCACTCAACCAAACAGTCAGTCAGTCAGTCAGTCAGTCAGTAAGTCAGTCAGTCAATCAATCAATCAATCAATCAATCATCAAGCTATCCATAAATCCATCAGTATGTAGATAAAACTTATTAATGGGTAGTCGGTATACAAACAAAACCAATAGATGCTTTACAAAACTACAAATGAAAGAAACATATATATATATATATATATATACATACACACGCATAACATCATCACTGAACCACGAACCCTTTAACTTCTTGCAAGGATGTGAGCATGCTTGGCACATAGTTCGATCGAGTAACCACTGATTCCCAAACCATCCTGCGAAGCCAAAACCCTCAGCCCAAAAGCTCAACAAAACTTGCCCGGCCTCCGCGCCCATACCGGCGCCGGGCCGTCTCGTGGTGAAATTCACGTGACCCGGTGCGGCGCACCGGGGAGGCAGCTTTTCCGAAGATGTGGGGATCTTTGTGGGATGGGGCCAAGTTGAGAGTGAGAAAATATCCCTAAACCCTAAAAACCCTAAACCCTAAACCCTAGGGCGCCTTTTTTCGGTATTGGGGTTTGGTGGGGTTTGGCCGGAGGTCCAAAGCCGCCTCCCCAGGGCCATCCAGCGCCAATGCTTTGGAAGGGACTTAGTAAGTACCTGGACCCCAAAAGTATGTATAGAGAATAATAGCCTTTTATAGGTTTTGGGTCATTATTTTATCTACTTTTGGGGGTCTACGTAGGAGACTTAGTAAGTAGGATAGCTTAGGGCTATGAGTCTATGAGTCAGGTTTAGGGTGTAGGGTTCGAGTTTGAGGATTTCCAACAGGGTTCTAGGTTCGGGGTCTCAGGGCTCAGGGGTTACTAAACCGCACTCGAAAACGTAACAGACTTTCTAAGGAATCACTTCTTCCAAAACAACCCCAAAACGATGTGTCGCAGCCATCTTGGAAGATTTGTACTCACCTACCTGGAAAGGGAGTTTAAACTGATCTAAAGACATAGTGCTCAGTTGTCCAGGGCTTAGGGGATAGCACTAGCGCTAAACTAGCGCTAAAATTTCACGGGGAATAAAGGCTGCAGGGTTGAGGGCTTAAGGTTCAGGTTTTGGTTCTAAGTTCCCAGCCGATAGGCCCATATTCTTGGAGTGACAGTATAATTTTGGACAGTTCTAAGCTTTCGGGCAGAACTACCACGAACGACAAGTAGCCAACAGAAGCTGTTCAAACAGGCGGATTTCAGGCAATTGCCTTTTGTGCCATCGTCCGTAAGACCCGAAATTAATAGACTAGGTTTTGAAGCTTACATCATGGAGTAAAACCAGCAAGGCAAACCGTAACTCTTGAAAGCTGGCGTGCTGCAGCCCCATGTGGTCTAATCTAGGGGTCGCAACTCGTGATAATATAGCAATGTAACCCATACATGACCATACTACATTATATACCCAAGAACCCCATTAATCTGATTAGTAAGGATCGGCTACTACGTCCTGTCCCTCCCAAAGCGCAAATATGGAAGTTTCGGTGCCCCTAGGGGCTCCGGTCGTTTGCAAAGTGGCTAAGCGGCCAAAGGCCTGCCACGTTTGAGCCAAAGAAGGGGTGGCCGAACAGTGAGTAGTATAGGGACCGGAGTAATCAGCAATACTATTTGGGTGGTTCTTTCTTCTGACTAGAGTATGATACTACCCAAAACCCTTGTCCTGTTAAGGCCCTTACAGCAGGGTTTGGGGTTTCTTCCGGAACGGGTGGCCGAACTGTCATTATGGCTGTTTCAGGGTTTCGCCTTGTATATCATTACTAGAGATCGATAGATAGTTAGACAGATACGTAGAAACGTAGATAGATGGATAGACAGGTGCGCACATACTAGGTACATCCAGTTGCCCGAATAAGAAAAGCACAACGTCATTCATTCCCATTCGGTACCGTCAGTTGGTTCAGGGCAGAGGACTTAGGGTGTCGGGTGGAGTCCTTCGGAAACTTCAGTACGAAAGGAGAACACGCATGAGGAGGGGGCAAGGCAGCACCAGCCACCAAGTTGCGACACAAAACACTTGGCCTCAGGTCTGGGCTTTTGGTTGGAACCTGCTCTCACAGACAACGATTTCTGCTTTGGATCTGAAGGCTCTAGATAGAGTCTCTAACAATTCCAGACTCTGCCCCAAGCATCGGGTGCCTCTCCAAACAAACCGGGCCACATCTAGCAGGACCTCCCGGCCTGCGGCCGCGAGACTCTACTCCTGGCCTAAGCTCACAAACACTAAACTGGACACCCTGATTCAGCCCAATCCGGGTTTAACCTCGAAAACCCTGAAACCGGAAATCCCAAACGGTAAACACAAGCGCTTGTGCCCAAGCTTACCAACCCTAAACCAGGAAAAAAACAAACATAAGCTGCCCCACGCCCCGGTTTCGAAGATGGCAAACCGTAGGAGCCTAGAAAAAAACGAAATTCGAAGTTCAGAGTAGAAGTATTTAGGGCTCAGGTGTTTAAGGGTTTGGGCTTCAAGGGTTTGCGGGTTTGGGGTTTATAAAGCTTAGGGTTTAGCGTGGAAGGGTGGCTCAGCCCTATGCCCTCGTTAGTATAATAAGTATATTGTGCGGAAGACTTTCGCGTGTATGGGACTGCTACTGTGAACTGCAGACCTATGACCTATGAGACCTCCCCAAACACGCTCCTTTTCGGCGATCGCCATGCAGGACGGTCCCTGCTTCGAAAACTGTCGCAAAAGAAAGAGGCCGGTAGGAACTGTCTTGTCTTGAGGCTGAGCTTTTCTCGATGTTTGCCGGTTGAAGAGTCCGGCAAGCAACACCTTAGGTTGTGGGAGTTGCAGATTTCAAAAGACAGTGCTGAACCCTGACTTATGTCGCCTGTGAACTCGAACCTTCCTCCGATCTTGGGCGTGGCGTGTTGATCTACAGCTGCTGCGGCAGCGTGAAACGAGATAGGGCGCAATCGTCCGGGGTCCGGTAGATGACAAAAGATTCGACAGGTTTTGCTTGGCTTCATACCTGGACGAAAGCTGGAAGACAGGTTTAGGTGGCCTTCTGGGCAGAAGGAGTTGACTACTTGCCTGAAACCCTACACTAAAAACTCTAAATCATCTACATATACTATAGCAGTTTGAACCATTAGTAATGCGACCAAAAGCCTACTATTACTATTCTAAATAGGCCAAAAGATTCGTTCCTGAACCCTGAAACCCTAAGCCCTAAACGGAGCCCTCACGTTAGTGAAACGGGTCCGCTGGCTTCCTCGCTGACTTCCGGCGGCTGTGCCTTCCTGAGCTCAAGGCCAAGAGATCGAGTCTTGAAGGTTTTTTGTGTTCTAAGGGTTTACGGATGAAGGTGTTTGAAGCTTTAAGGTTCAGGGTTTAGAGTTTAGGGCTAACAGGGTTTAGGGTCGGGTTTAGGGTTCCTTGTCCAGGATCTCATGTTTTTGGTTCAAGGTTGCAGGTTTCGAAGTTTGGTTTGAGGCTGAAGGGCGAAGTTCTGGGGTTTGCAGCGCTCCATAATTTGGGCACTGGGCTTGGCTTTTCGGGATGGGAGCCGGCGCAGGACGTAGCTAGGTGGGAGGGATAGTTCCTTTTTGGGATTGCCTCATAGGATTCTAAACCCCCAAACATAAGTAGGGTTATAAGTAGGGTAACTATACTTATAATCCATATCAGGGGGACTTATAACCCCACCCAAACCCTAAACCCTCCGGGTTTTCGGTTGGGAGACTCACGCTCGAGGCTTTGGATAAACCCTCAGGTCCGAGGATGATAGGCCGTGAGGAATGGTATTACCTATAGTGTATATATATATATATATACACAAACCTATCTATATATATATATGCATGTATAGAAATATATATATATATATATATATATATATATATATATATATATATATGTATGTATGTATGTTCGTAATTCCTCCCGCCTCTGAGTGCGTTCCTCTACGGCGCAACTGCTACATCCGGCAAACAAATCCGACAACGACTCATCAAACATGGATCTAGGAAGGGCTTCGACGAAGTGAGCATCTGCAGAAGCTCAGGCATACCCAGAATTATGTGATCGCACAGTTGACGTGTGGTTGCTTCCTTTGGGCAGAAGTCTATGACAGTCTATGTATCCGTAAGCATAGCCCCCCAAACTGTCGTTCCTGCACCTTGTGGTGACTTCCTGCTCGAACTAGAAAAGCTACAAGATGTTGCCAGGTTCCGGTGTCCCATTTGCTCCCGACAACCCTGGAATGTAAAACCACTAGCCCTATCCCGATACCACGTAGTCATTGAGGCTTCTTTAAAGCCCTAATGATGCAGACTTGGCGGTCCAATTCGTTCCAGCGGCGGCCGTGTTTGTCGCGTGTAGCACTTCACGGTGCCATTCGGCCCAGGTACTACGACGACCTCGGCAGACAGGGCGCAACATCACGGGGCCAAAATAATCATTACAAGAGGGCTTGTCTGAGAAAGGACATCTCATATTATATTTCTGTGTACATGTAGGGGCTAGGACGGGGCATTGCTTCCCTTTCTGAAACTCTTCGCCAAAGGACAAAGAGCAGGTCATGGTAGTTCAAGCAAAAAAAATGCAATCTCCTTGGCTGGCCTTGTCGCCGCGCGCAATCTCCACCGCGAGGAGCTCTTCGTTAATCAGCGCAGGGCGATAGACCTTGGTTGCTATGCTCTCTTGTAGGTTATTAGGTTCTGTAAGGGCCCTATATTGGAGTTCGGGCAGAGTAGGATTTGAGAAGTGACATCCGAGCTTGGGGGCGGAACGGATGTGGGGTAAACTGGCCTCTACTTACAGTATTCAGTGTAGTTCGCTGTTTTGTTACCTGGATGTTTAAGTTATACGATAGGACGCGAAGCAACATATCGGTGAACCGAAAACCAATCCAAACCAAAAAGGTCCCATTGAAGTTGATCACGTCAGCTCTACAGCCCCGAAGTCTCGTCGTCCTCCAATGAAGCAAACCAACAAACCCAAACCCGAAACCCTAAACCCTAAAACCCTAAACTCTTAAACCCTAAACCCGATGCAAAGCCCAGAATCCCAAGCCCGGAATCCTCCGGATCGTCTGAGCTAACATAGACTTGTGACTTTTTGGAATAAGGCTCTCTCTGGGTCTACTTGTACTCCAAAGCCGTTACGACTATACTGGGACGGCATCCCTAAACCCGCAAACTCTGAACTCCAAACCCCAAAGCCCCTAAACCCCTGATTGCTTGGCAAAGCAACCCGGAGAACCAGGCAGTTGGAGTCCCCCTTTGGCCGCAGCTGGCCTCACGGGCAGCTTGATGCGCTTTTCTCTCGTTGTGGTGTAATTCTACATTTGGATGTTGGCGTTTGTTTGTGCTATGTTCTGCCGTGCTTAGTCTAGGGTTTAGGGCTGAGGGTTTAGGGCTGAGGGTTCCTGCTCTGCAAGGTCCCGCTGAGCTGTTCTATTGAACTCCCAAGCCTACTCTAGGTGTCGATTTCAACAGTGCCCAAAATCACTTACTGTATAATTCAGGCTCTATATTAACAAAAAGGGAAATTAAAAATTATCCCACATCGATTCCTAGTGCTCGGCCGGCCGAATGATCCGGCAAAACAACTCAGCTCGGGGACAGGTCTCCCCCTGCTCCACGAGCGCGGCTGAAACCTCGGGAAGCAGGGAACTTACTAAACAGCAGCTGGGTAGTTCTCTGAACTTAGGGTCATAGGGTCCCTTTTAGTGTCTTGTTACAAGGGTGTCGTCCTATTTTAGGGACCTAAGAAGGGACCCCAATTTAGAGAACTACCGACTTAGGCTTGCGACACGGCTACGAGCAGAGAGAAGGACAAGTTTGTAAACTCCCACCGTCGTTTCGAGCGCCACCGAAATCGGCGCGTGTGTTGTTCGACTGTCATGCAAGTTCGAAGTAGTAGCAGGATCATGAGGACCATGCTTACACTTGGCGGCATGCCCAATCGCTGTGACCATGGAGACATGGCACATGTTGCAGTTTTGGCTACAGCGAGGAATGAGCATGAAGGAGCACAGCCCCAGCTGCCAACGTGTGCTTAGCCAAACTGAAGCCCATGCCTATGCATGTACACGAAGATATGCACACACACACACACAAAAGTTCCGCAGTTTATAGATCATGCCAAACATACACTGCGATCGACTCAAAGCACATTTTTCTCAAAACCCATATCTTGGAGGTTGGGGGGGGGCACATTAATTAATCGTCATGCTCGAACTTGAGAAAAACCTTCTATGATAGGTTCTGTCACGGTTTGTCCGCGGGTTACCGGGTTCAGGGTAGCAGCATAGTAAAACCCCCTAAACCCATGAACCTCAAAACATCCCTAAACCCCTATAAACCCCTATAAACCCTGAACACCGCAGCTGTGCAGATGAAATCGTGCCAAGCCACTCCGTCGCTACCCAGGTTCCCCAGGGGCCTGGACATCCATAATATGGAAGGTTCCGAACATAGGGGATCCTAATTATATAGCACCCTAAATAGTAGGATCTTATTATAAGGACCCCCAGATAAGGCACCCCCTAATTTTCGGAAACTCCCTTATGAAGGCCTTAAGAATTAGAATAGGGCTTTGTCTATAAGGGCTACTATAAGGGATCTATAAGGGTAATATAGGGGCCCTTAATCATTGGAATAGGGTTTTGGGGCCAATTATACTAGAAACTATCAGAAGGAAGCCCCAAAATAGTATTGGGCAATTGTTTAGGCCCCTATTTTAGACGGCTAGAGGATTCCAAGCCCTGAGCCCTGGGTTTGCGTTGCAGCATTCAGGGTTCAAGGTTCATAATTGCGGTTATAGAGTTTAAGTTAAAGGGGTTCAAGGTTTAGTAATAGGGTTTGAATATAGAGGTTAAGTTAAACCACATCAGCAATGCTTAGAGCATGACGGGACTTGTCAGTAGGGCTATCTGGTTTCACGTGGAGCCAAGAGCCAAGGCCTGACTCTTCGAATGTTTAGGACTTCAAGTACCTGAAGGGTTTCAGGCAGGAAAAATCCGAAAAATAGCAGGAGTAGGAACCCCCAACGCAGCGGTCCCTGTTTCAATACTTCGCAATTTCCGGTTAAGAGACGTATAGACACAGAGTCCAGAAAATGGGGACGACGTGATACCACCCCCCGACCCACAATACTAACCTGGAAGGAAGCCACAGGGTCTTATGCAGCACCGTTCCCGAGACACATTTCCTCACATCCCGAATGAGACAGACGCAGAAAGAGTCTCGAAAACTACTGTAGGATCTTTTGAGCATGTCGCAGCTTCTTAGATTTTTGCTTTGACTTGTTCCGGCTATCCCGGTTGCCGCTGCTGCCATGAGGCACGGCGCCGAAGGGGACCAGCGATCTCAGCAACAAGTAGGCTTTCGGCGTGGGCTGCAGAGCATCAAACCAAGAAGGCCCTCCCAGAATCATAATGTGAGAATGAGGCTGAGCAAGCTCCTCGTCGTTCAGGCGGGCCCAAAATGGAAAGTTTAAGACCCATGGATTGCTGTTTAGTCTTGGTGTCAAGTAAGAAGAGCCAAGAACGCATGTCTACAACATCAGACCATGTTGAAACAACGTGCAACTCTCGTTATGCGGCCTGTCTCGATGGGCCAGCATAGCATCATACAGCATCTATGTCTGGAACCGAATATAACGCATATGGAAATTGGTGAACAGGGACGGAGTCTAATCAACACGTCTCCTGGTTCATGCGGATACTCTGCATCTCGAAACGGCAATCCTTCAACCCCAGCTTGCCCTACCCTCGTCAACTCTACACTCTAAGCTCCAAACCACAAAACCTCAAAGCCAAAGTAGCTAAACTAGACACTCTAGCAAACAAAAACCCACGCAAAACCCAAACAAAAACTGCAGCCGAGCTGGCTCACGCACGTGCACGCAGATCTTCAGCTTGCCGGGCCCTCCCCCGTAGGAGCCAGGAAGGTAAGTCACTTCCTGGGGAAACATAGTAGCCATACGACTTAATATGGGGTTTTGGGGCATATGATGGTGTTTTGCAACAAAAAGTAAGTCACCTCCTGGGTCGTCCTTTAGAGGACTGGAGCCGGTTTCGGTTTGGCGGCTAAGGCTTTTAGAGTTCGGGTCAAGGCATCCGAGCTCATAAGGGCTTCAACCGGGTTCGGAGCTTGGGCTAACAAACGGCTTTGGCAATCAGCGGTTGGCTCGGGCTTCACGAATCCAAGGAGCTCGCGGCCTAGAAGGGCTGCGGATGCCAAAGCTCTATAGTGAACACCAGAAACTTGGAAAATGGATTTAGGATGATTGGTGATGGGATTCCCGGTACTTTGGCCGAATAAGGGTATGAGGATAGTGCTATTCCAACTATCTGGCTTGCAAAGGCGGGATTTATCGGGATAATTTAGAATTCAGCATCTTAGGTCTGGAGGCTGGCTCTGTATAGATTCACTTTTGGGGGTTGAGGGGTCTTGTGCCTCGGGTTTGCGCTCTATGCCGTTTTCCTGCTGCGGAGCAACTGTATTAAGACTGATGTTGGCCTTTGAAACGCCCACAGCAATCGAATTAACGCAATCAGCGGCTTTGTTGACAGACACACTGAAACACATGACGACGCTGCCATAAGGATTTATCGACATCGAGCAACAGAAACCATTGTCTTAGGAAGCAAACATCCGGGAATATTGGGGCTCCAACATGATGAAGAAGTCGTCCATTCCCATCACAGGAACTCATGGATGCTTGCCAACATGAGCCTGCCTTCTACAGTAGAAGCCCAAAAGTTGGAAACCCAATAGCCCTAATCCTTAAGACGTAAGAGTAATGTATAGGGAACCCCAGCACTATTTGGCCTTAATCCGGTTTCCAACTTAATGGAGTTTACGGTAAGTACTGAAGCCTCTCTTGCCTTCTAAGTACTGAAGCCTAACCCTAAACCCTAAACCCTAGCCTCTCTGACTCACAACATCAGCCGGATCTCCACTGGGTTCTCTTTCCGTCGGATGGCTGCCCGTGCCTCGCAGGGAAGCTTTGGCTGCTGCCCACTTACTCAGACTTCCGCAGACTCGATCCCCGGGCTGTTAAACCGATCCTTTAAAAATTTTAATCAAGACTATAACGTTGTTTTAACCTATAAACCTAACAGTCGTTTTAACAAACAAGCTGCAACCTGCAACAATCTGTGAAAACCTTACCTCGACACCTGCACCACCAAAGCCTTAAAGCTTGTGACAGATCTGCAAACCGACAATGCAGAGTGCCAAGGAGCCGACTACGAGCAGACTCGAAACTTTGTTCCCTTCACCCCCTTCACCTGCATCCGATGCCACAAACCTGGACTCCCATGCTGTGCCCTACCCTAAGGCCCCATAGTATATAGTTCCTTCTCGGGATTACGTTATAGCATTCTACATATAAACCACAAAAAGGAACTACTTTGGGGCCTTAGGGTAACCCCTACACATCCCTAAACCCTAAACCCTACACCCCCGGGCCTCCGCCTGACATTGCTGGAAAAGCCGCTCAACAGGATCCTGGACCCAGGTGGTCGGCTTTCATGAGCTTCGGGTTTAGGGGTTTAAGGTTTAGTGGTTAAGTTTTTAGGGTTACGGGTTTAGGGGTTTAGGGTTTAGAGGTGAAGGGTTTAGGGTTTAAGGGTTCAAGGCTAGGATTTAGCGTTTGGAGCTCTTTATGAGTGGTGTATGGTCGAAACAAGGGGCTGTTGGGTTTGTTACCGCCCTGGAAGGTAGCAGGAGGCTTGAGCAATAGTGTACAAGGGCATTACGGTGAAAAGCCAGTCGAAAGATTCAACTGGGATTCAGGATTCAGCGGATTCTAAATACGAGTTTCCGAAGCGCCTTTCACTGGTACGCTGATGCCATAAAAAGCCCTCTGAACTCCTTCTCCAAACCTTTATTGGGACTTTCCGAAAATAGGGGACCCAAGTATCCGACATAGTAGGATCCTTATTATCAGGACCCCAAAATAGGGCCGCCAAAATTTTCGGAAACCCCCTTATAGGAACAAACGTCATACCGGCCCCTTCCTGTTTGGGAAGAGGGTCGGTGAGGGTTACCTGAAAACCCACGAAACTTTGTGCAAAGGCGCCTCATCCTCTGGCCGCGATGCTTGGCGCGCCTTTCAGACACATCAGAAACCCTAAACCCTGAACCGGTTGTGGATAAACTTCTATCCTATCGGAGTTTCGATAGCTGGAGACTTCAGGTGTTTTTTCGTTGGGGGGGCAAAAGTTTTAGGGGGGCTCGGCTGGCTTCCACTACGATGAGGCTGCCGACGACGATGAGGACGACAAGGATGACATGAGGAGTAGGAACGAGGACGAGGGGTGCCGAATGAGTGGATGAACAAACCTGCAAACTTGAACCCTGAAGCGTGCCGAACTTACGATACTAAGCCGCTACAATCAGAGGCTGAAAGGGCTCCAAGGTTGATCCGAACTCCCTCCGGCTGAAACTTGGGGCCCACTATCTCCTAAACGTGAAGCTCTGCGACCCGAAACTCTGAACCTGGCTGGACTGAAGAAGGCCTAGCGACCTTCAGTCCTACATAACCTGGATCCGCACCGACGCCCGCCCATGGGCCTTGCGGAACAGCAGTGCCGTGCCAATACCACCTTTGCAGTGTTTCCCTAAGGGTCCATGTGCCCATGTGGTATATACGTTGAGCCTAAAGTACCTATGTAGGGAATTCTTTAAGGCCAGAGCATATACGAATTGGGTCATGGACCGTTAGGGTTTTTTGATTTGACGTGCAGAACCCGTAAGTCCCTAGGTCCCGACGGCCTCAAGCGATGAATTGGAGCTATAGGATTTAAACATCACAACAAAGTTAAAGCTTACTTACACAGCTACAAGGGTCACAAAAACCCCAACCCCAGCTCTCACCACTAAGCCCAACTCCTGAAACCGGAACACCCAGAGTTGCCTGCAGTGATGATTCCAGTCCCGGGCAGCACCAGGGCAACCGCCAATCCGCCCTTCCTGATACTGCCCGCGTTTAGGGCTTAGGGACAGTTGGGTTGAGGGCTCAGAGCACTAAGTCAAATGTGTCAACAGAGTAAGTTAAGCAACGATGAGGGTACGAAGCCGTTCTGGGCAATGCCAGCCGACGGCTGAAGGCTTTGAGGCTTCAGTCGGCGTTATGGTTCAATATAAGGCTGTTCAAGAAAAGCCTAATTGGTAGGGGCTTCAGGTGTTAATACGTTCAGATGGTCATGGAAGGCTAAATTCGTGTTCAGGGCTGCCACAAAAGGCTCAAAAGGAGAGATCATCCAAAAAACATCTACCGCTATCGACGAATACGGAAAGCGGATGACTGCGGCGCCACCTAACGTAAGGTTTGCTCTCCCGTGTCCACGGATAGCTGCAGCTTTTGTCAGAACGCGGGCGGTACGCAGCAACACTTTCAGTTCCAAGCGCAGTGACACTTGTTGCTTCTTGCAACACAGATCGCATCTAGTTGGGGACCCACTTCTTCCATTGGCCAGCCCAGTACCACCAATCTCCATGCCACTTTCGCCAGCTCTGTTGCGACCCGCCTGACTTGTTGGCATTCGAGCTCTGTGAACTCTGTCGCTGCTTGCTGGGTTCTGGCCGGCCTAGATCGCGGGCAAGCTCATCCAAGCATGGGAGCATCCTGATGTCCATGTTTCCTGAAGGTGTGTCCAGGCACGACATCAGAAGCGCCCGGCTAAAGGTTATACCCGCATTTCTGTAAATCTTGACCTCGGCTTGGGGCGTTGCATGTGCTGCAGCTATAGTATTCTTCTGGAACACAAGCTGCTTCAGTTGTGCCAGCTCCCGCTGGAGCTTGGAAATCTTCTCTTCATGCGCTTTGCACTGCTGCTGCAGAGTCTGGATCTGAGTTTTTTTCTCAGTCTGCCTCTGTACCATCGACGCGAAGACCTCCTTAACGTCATCGAAGGCTTCGCGCATGGCGAAGACGGAGGTAATCCCTCCGTCCATCGCGGCAATCTCAACTGTCTGTCAGCTGATGCCTGCCTGCTGCTGTGCCTACAGGCTTGCTCGGGCAGAAAGGCAGGCCCATGCCCAGAAGGAAACTCATCAGCCGTGCCTTAAATCGAGTTCTGAATTGCATTCAACCTCTACTGTAGTTGATGCCAGCTTCTTTCGGTAAGTATGTATAGGTATATAGACAGATACATAGCTAGATAGGTAGGTAGACCGATAGATCAATAAGGGATGAGAAAATCAACAGGAATGGAGAGTAGCAACAGCCTACCTACATGGTAGCAACAATAAGAATACTTACTACAATAAAAGTGTTACGGAACAGTGCAGGGAAACACGAAGTATGTAACGGAAAGCTGGACGAGAAGCCCCCGACAAGCATCAACAGGGAGCCGGAACATTCGCTCGAAATCCTATACCCACACCCAGGCCCAATGTACAAACACTAAACCCTAAACCCCCAGCCCTCAACCCTAAACCCTAAACCCCCAAACTCCAAACCCTCAAAGATAGCTGCGGCTCTGGGCTGGAGTCAGCTTGTGCCCCTCCAGATCGAACATCCGGCGGAACAGCGCCGGCAGACCTGGGATTTCGACTTAGGGGTCTTAATATATACCTTAACCTACCAAAACCTACTTTTTGTAGGGTCCCTATAAATTCTATATTCGTGTTTATAATAAGAACCTACAAAAAATGGGTTTGGTAGTTTAAGGCAATTAGGCTAGCGTTCCTTTAAAGTGTGTCTTTAAGGGTGGATACAAGGAATCTAGAAGGGTGATTACTTTAGCGAGGTTCGGGATTTCGGGTGCAGGGTTTATAAGGCTTGTGGGGGTTTTGGGTTAAAGGATCAGGTCAAAGGACTAGGCTTCGGGATTTACTTCATTCGTTTGGGGACTTAGAGTTCAAAGGTTTGGGCCTCTCCTAGACCCCCAACTACCCTCTATTATACCCCAAATATACACTATTCATTACCATAAGGGCTCTCTTAAGGGGCCAATGGGGGGTCCTTAATGGGACCCTGTAAGGGAACCCTTAAAGGAAGCCTTAAAGGCTCTCTTATTGAAGGGTTCCTGGCTCAAGCTGAGGCCGAGCCGCGGTTCGTGGAGACCAGGGCGTCCCTTTTTGAGCCGCCCAGGTGGTCCGCGGGAAGACGAGAGAGCTCCGGTTGAAAGTCGCCTGCATAAAGTTTTGGGTTTGTAGGGGTTGAGGGGTTCAGAGATGAGGGTTTGGGGGTTTAGGGGTTTACGGGTTTGGGTTGGGTCTGACAGCTTGATGATGCATGGATATACATAAGTCACCAGAAGTAAAGCAAGCGTCACAACCACGAACTTCTATATACAGACAAAAATGCAAACACGCTAACGAGTGCTAGTAGGATGCCAAGAAACACGCTCAGATTACCTGGAACCTTAACGGAACAAAACCCTCAACCCACAAACTAGTGCCCCCCCTACCCTAGACCTCAAAAACCCAAAAGCCTTAAGCAATCCATCAACCCTGAACCCCAGACCCTAAGCCGGCAACCCATCAGCACCTCATTGAACTCCTTTGGAAGACCCAACACACACACACACACACGAGAGGTCGGATAGCTGATATATCCATGAGACGAGGCTCGCTCGACTGCCGTCTGCACAGCAGCCAGGCTCTCACACCAGGCCTTCACGAATGGGATTACAAGCATTAAGCTCCAAATGGAAAGAATTTGACCAGGGCTGGCAGAATCTGTGTTCTCAGGGTATATGGAGGCTTATAGGTATCTCATTGGGGGTTCAGAAGCTTCGGATTTCAGGACTCCAGAGTTGGGGGCAGCAGCCTAGAAGATGTGGCATACAGACTTTGGCTGGTACGTAGGATCGTTCATGGGGCTCGGGGATCGTGAAGGGAGTTCGGCGGGCTTTAACGTGTCTCTCCCGTTGGCTGAACGAAGTGCTGGCATGAATATCGACGTGTCCGCAATCCCAACAGGAATCCCTTAAATTACCAAGCCCGGTTGCCTCATCGGGATCCATCCCGACCTTGCTATGTTGTCGTTCGGGGGTGCTCGTTGAATATCTAATTTGGGACAGCCCATAAGCCTCCAAATCACTTGAAACGGCTACCTGAACCTCAAGACGAAGGACTCAGGGGCTTCCATCAAACGGATCGGGATGTAGATTGTTTTGTGGTTTCTGACATATGGGTTGAGGATCCAGGGTTGACATGGTTCGGGGGTTCGCGTCGTAGAGCCCCGCAAAGCCCAGGCAACGCAGTGAATGGGCGCCTTAAAGGACCCTACTTCTGATATTACGAAAGCACCAGCTCTCCAAATGGGCCTGCGGGGCTCCAGGTGAGCTTCGCTTGTTGAATGCTTGGTGTTGGGAATTTGGAAGCAATAATAATGTACTTAACAATCTGCTCATATCATGATATGTTGATATAATACGATATTACTACATAGACTATAACATTATAAGAATACGGATTCTTCCACACGACGCTTGGCAGTCTGTTCTTGGGGATCCATACGGAGCGTGCAACGAGATGCAGCTCAGATTACCGGTTGGGGTTGACATGCTCGGGTTTATACATATATATATATACATACATGCACACATGTACATATGTATGTATATGGAGGATTCAAATTGCCAGCGAATTATCAACCCCCACCCCCGGCAAAAGCAAATTAAAGAGGCTTTGTAAACAGTTCTCGACTCCCCTAAGCGAGCCAGGATTTTTTGAGCGAGCCTATCTTAAAAAAAACAAAAGAATTTGATTAAACACAGAAAAAGATTTTAACAAAATCTATGTATAATCACATTTGCTCAGGAAGCGAATATTTGTTATAAACCGAAAAGATTTAAAACCGCTGCGAATTCAAAGGTTCTTCATTGAAAAATCTACCCATTACCCAGAAACTTGGGCGATGTTTCAAATCTCAAGGTGGGGGTGGGGGGTGTAAGTTGGCCGATGATCAAAGACCGGATGAGGTTCAGGCGTTCAGGCACTCGATTTCGTGGGAAGGCTGATTTGCAATGACCACGGAAATTCGGCGACTGTTGCTGGGCTGGGACCGATCAAAGCAAGACTTCAAGCCCAAAGTCACATGATGAAACGGAACATCCTGTCCGCGCTGCCGCCTCGATGTACCCGTACTCTCAGTCAACTCTGGACAAGCCCTTCTAAAAGAGCAAGCCCCCTACCTTGCAGACCTTACAAGCTCGCCTCCTCCAGTCTAAACCCTGAACCCTTCAATTTCTCTAAAGTGGACATGCGTACCTAGACCCTCCATCTACCCTCTATTAGACCCTAAATGCCCCTTATGTGGGACCATATACCCCTATTTGAGGGTACAAGGAGGGTCCTGGTAGCTATTTATCTTCAAGCCATGCAACATGCGGATACAGCACTTTGGCGAAGCACATGAGTGAATTACACCTTGGCTCGTGGCAACACTTCTTGGACGGAGCTTCAGCATGCAGGCAGCCCATAAAGCAACAACTTTGCACGAAGCAGAGAGGGAGGCAATGTAAATCCCGCTGACAGAACAGGTGCGACAAGAGACGATGCAGGCAGTTAAGGCTCTGGTATATGCTTCTCAAAAGACTGCTACCCTGAAGCCCACGTCGTACTTGAGACCGAAATTGTAGTCATTGAGTTAAACAAAAGGGTGCCATGTTGCGGCGAGGTACCGAGCTGAAGCGCTCCGACAGCTCACACGAACCCAGGGGTCTCTCGGGCTCAGACGTAGATTTCAGAGCAAGGGTCTAAGTATACGATTTGCAAGATGTAGTGGGAGGGGGGGTTGCTAGATCTTTGGAAACCCTCGGCCCTGACCTTGAAGCAGCTGCTTGCGATTGATGGCTTAAGCTGTCATGGGCTTCACGAGGTAGCCAATGAGTCGCATGAAACCCCAGAAAGGCAAATCCCACTCTGAGGGTCTTAACTTTACGGACTGCACCACACGTTTCCGGGTTTATAACCTGCTTTTCTGACGGATTTGGGGACATGACGGGCCTCGTAGGGTTTGTCTGCAACCACTCTGAAGCCCCGAACCAGCAACCTGAACCCCAGTGGACAGTCAAAACAGACGGCTCTTTGCGGTAGAATGCTCACGATAGCCTTCAACACCGTACAGTAAATGCTATAGTCTGAAATGCTAAACGCTGAAAATGCCCTAAAACCCCGAAACATTCAACATACACCCCTGTAACGCTTCCTGTTTAACTTCAAGGAGCATCAGCAACGCCGCGGCGAAAAAGCTAAGGAGGCCCTCACGCGAGCCGGCGCCGATCAAAAGGAGTTGGCCTCAGACAACTCAAACAACTTGGGGATTGCAATAAGTGTATCATACTTTTAGAGGCTACTATGCAGTACATCCCCCGAACATCTAAACCTTATAAGCCCGATAATATTGTACCGTAGTTTCTGAGACTGCGGTAATGCTTCCTGCTAACGACCAGGTTGCGTGGCTGCGCGCACCTTAGACTTCTTCATCCCGTCCCCGTCCTCACACCCGCTACTCGGAGTCGCACGAATGTCCCGAACCCTGAACCCTCTAAACCCTAAACCCTCCGAGAAGCTGCTCCCCAAATTGCATCGAAGCTGCCAAGCCATATCGCTTGTTTCTCTTCGCACCAGTCCTGCGCAGTTGTGTGGGAGAGGGCTGAGGATTCCTCTATTTTCCGCCCAAACGCCGGAAAATGTCGGAAACAGGTGCACTCTGATTAAGTTAGAGATCCCACGAGCTTCCTACAATCTCATCATCTGTACCTATAGAAGCCTTGTGATCCACCATCTGCCTGGAGGGAAAAGACAAGGCGCTCATGGATTTGGCTACTTCAAGTTTCGGGGCGCTGGTCAGCAAGACGAATCTCCTGTTTAGGCTTGCGCCTTAAAGGGAGCCCTCGCTTCGGGCTGCCTGACTGAAACCGCCTTGTTGGGTCCTAGGGAACAACTGGAAAGCTGGCACTTAATATACAGGCTCATTCCTGCGTAGTCAAACCTGCGTGAAGCTTTCCACCTGACCGATGTACTTCCAGGGCTTCTGATACAGTAGTGTCCCTGAGACTCTCCTCGCACAGATTGGACATAGGTTTACACTTACTTCAAGCTGTGCTGGGGAGCAGCTCGCACTGCCCCATCACACGTCCCTTTAGCCAGGGCTCCAGGTCGACACCCTTTCAAATTTGCGACATCCCGAAACCAGACTGAAGCAGCTTCAGAAACATTTAATTCATATACCCATGTCGTATGTAGGATCCAATTACATGGACCACTTCATGGCTCGAACAACAGAGGACACCCGGCGGCCTGCGACGGCTGCAGCGCTATGTCAAACCAAAGCCTTTTGAGGGCCTGCGGCGGACGGGGAACAACTAGTCTCCGGATGTTGGGATCTGGTCTTCAGGAAAGTGAAGGAATACGGAATATGTGGCTGCTCTAAACTGACTCTCAGCTTCCTTGTTGAAGTCTGCCCAAAGAAGGGCTTGCCAGTTTTTTGAAAAAAACTTCGCGTGTGAACATCGCTGGCCTTGCCGAGGGCTGGCAGCGACCGGGCGTCCACGGCGTCTTTGGCAACTTCGAGGCCCACCTTGCAAAGGGGTCCTTACCCTAAGGCTCCATAGTAGTTCCTTTTGGGGGGTTCGTATTTAGAATCCTTTAAGGTAATCCCCAGAAGGAACTACTTTGGAGCCTCTGGGTAATCATGAGAATGGGATATTGGGCTCCTTTGTCGTATACCTATCATGAGGAACCCCACGGAATTTTATTGATGGTAATCAAAGCTTCTGCATTACAAGTTTACTCCCTGAAGCAGCCTGAAACCCTGAACCCCAAGTGCAAAAAAAAAACAATCCTCCTCTCATCTAAGAGGCCAACAGAATTCGACAAGGGAATCCATTGTGAAATCAAGTACGATATGACATGCCGCACCTTCAGCCTCAGACCCCACTGCCCGAAGCGTCTGTCCTGAACTCCATACATTACATAAGAAGACGTCGACTTCTTGGCCTATATCAAGATTCCAGGACTTCAATATCCCGAAACTAATGCAATCCTCACAGTCTACATTCTAGAGCATGTCGCAGCATGTCATACAAAGCTAAACATCCTACACCCGCCAGTCCTAGACTTTATCCAGACTTTCCCACCCTCAAACCCCAAATCTAAAGCCTTTCGCCTTTCCTCTGATCGCAACGAAGCGCTGAGCGCTCATCAAATCCAACCCCATGTGCAACCCTGATTCCCGAACCCTAAATGCATGCCAAACAGCACCTATTGACCCCGAAAGCCCCACTTTCCAAACCCAAGCTCTTCAAACCTGCCTGGACACCAAAAGTGTGTAGAATAATAGCCTTTTATGGTATTGGGCCACTATCATACCTACTTTGGGAGGTTTACCTATTTTTCACTCTGTATCCTGTCGCAGGAAAATCCCAACCCCCCTCTAGATTGAACCCCGTAGCCTCCCTCATCGCTCCCGACTACTTGTTCCCAAACCACACATGATGAAAACTGCAAACATCAAACACCTCAGAATCATATATCTGAACAGCCGTACCTTTAACCCCCCCAAAGTAGGTAATATAATGGCCCAACACCCATAAAAGAGGCTGTTGTTCTACATACTTTTGGGGTCCAGGTAATGCCTGACCCCTACAGATGGGGTCGAATGGTTTCGCACGTCTCTATAGTCGTTCCCACAGTCGACCGCTCTTCAAATCCGAACCCTGCACCCCGAACCCTACTTAAACCCTCTGGACCCTAATCCCTACAAGCCCTGAACCCCGCCTTTCCAGGTACTAGCACGGCCAAAGCATTCCTGGGCGGACACAGCAGCTCAGGTTCCTTTACTTTTTCGAGTCTCTTGAGTCCTGCAGATGTAACATTGATATACTAAGCTTTGTTTAAAAGGGAGATACCAAGGCTGTAAGATTGTTGTTAAGGGATATACTATAAAGCGTAGATAGCTTAGGGTATAAGTCAAAGCAAAGATCCTAGAATGAAAAGGGGCGAAAGTGTACTACTGCGGAACCTACCGATTAAATAACGTCGGCTTGAAAGCAGATCCGACGTTAAACGACATCTGAAAACTGAACACTTAAAGACTTAAAGCTTCACAGCTCAAAATGTCATCTTACCACCCTTGAGCCCCGAACCCCCAACCTCTTAAACTTCAACTCCGAGCCTACACCACCCCAGAATGCCATTTCGGCTTCAGCGAGAGGCAGAAGCTGCCGAAGCGAATCGATGACGCCGTCCGCTGCAGCCTCCCAAAGGTTCATTAGAATAGGGTTTTGGGGCCCATCATACTATAAAGACAATATAAGGAAACCTCCAAAATAGTGCGCAACCGCAGGTAGCGGCCTCAGTAATTACCTAGACTATTTTGGAGGTTTCCTACAATTATATTTATAGTATAATGGGCCCCAAAACCCTATTCTAATTATCAACGCCCCTATATTAGATGGCGAGTTTTGCATTTGCAGCCCTGCATCCGGGCACCTTTGCGGCATCCTCCATCGCTGACGTGAGCTGCACGACATCAGCCAGGAGTGAATTTCATTTGGCCGGGGCTTGCAGGCTAGGCTTGGGGTTGGGTTCCAGGTGAGGAGAAGAGTACATAGGTAGGAAATACTTTTGTGCTGGCTCCACAGGTGCTGGTGTTGAGGATGTTAGTTGATGGTGGGGATTTTGCAATGCTGGATTTTGGGGCGAGGGCTAGGCAGGTTTAAGGCGAGCTGACATTTTGTGAATGCTACCAAGTTCCCGACGAGGTGTCTTACAGTCGTCCATTCATGGTGTCGCCTACATGTTCTGGTGAAGCTGCAGCCAACAGGCACAGTGCATCCAGCGCCCTAGCAGCCGTGAGGTTGGGACGTAGGGTTTAGGAGTTTGGATGAGGCAGGTCCTGCTCAAATTCCATTCGAGTAGGCCTGGCTGAGACATCGAACTAATAGGTTGCCAATGACGGTTGCCCACACTTTAAAACGACAATGATGATGGGGAGGGTGACGGTCGTGACTGACGATGATACCGGTGATGGTGATGGTGAAAATGATGATGGTCGCGGTGATGATGATGATGATGATGATGGTGAATGTAATGGTTGCGGGTGGAACAGAACTTGCGTACCACATCTCAGGAGTTTTTTCCTAAGATCGCTCGCAGATCAATCCATGGTCGTCCGCCGGAACATCCTGCAGGAAACAGTTCGTGGTTTCTCATGGCAGACATGGCTAGACTCAACACTTCTGAGCCACTGGAGATAGATTTCAATACGTGGCAAACTATGGGAGCACTTGCACATGGAGATACCACTGCAAAAAGATGGTGACGTATCATGAAATAGCAACTCCCCTTCAAACTCGCGATCTGTGCAAAGTTCCTTGCAAGCACCAAGACTTCTAGGTAGCTTTATACCTACTGAAAAGGACCTTTCAGATTCTTACAAAAGCATGATCCTTGCGCGCGTTGGAGGTTGATCGCATAACACACCCTGATCATGTGGTATTGTTTTATAGACAAAGCTCAACTTACTTGTAATGTTGAGACTTCAGCATGATTGCCGGCGTGCACCTGATGCTTGGAATCTAGCTGCTAGAAACGGGAAGCCTACTACAGAAGAAACATGTTTGCATTCTTGGCTAGCTTGCTTAGGGGGTGATGGGGTTCCGCAGCTGGGCACAAGCATCACAAGATTTTTTGCGCTTGCAAACTCTTAGGCCTGTGACGCTGCAACCATGTGAACGTGTGAACACATTGGCACTATATGTGGCTCTTCCCCAAGCAAAGCGACCAGCCAAAGGTTGCGGCATCTCCCGCATCTCTCTGCTAAACACCTGGGCTCCGGATTGCTGCAAGATCAACAAGCTGATAAGTTGTACCGCAAATCGCTTTCAAAGCTGTTATAGCCAAGAGCCGTTGAAGCAAACAGCTTGACATGGTCATGCTTCTGGTACAAACGCCGTTGCGCCAACGGTAGCATGCACGGAATTTGGTACTAAGGTGTCATTGCCTACATGGCTGACAAGTACAGTGTCACTGGTCTCTCTAGGAGTGGTTTCTCGAAACTTGCGGTATGAATGAGTCTGGCAGCGGTGATGCAAACAAAACAGCTTTTCCCATCCGACGCCAGCTTGACTGTACTAAGCTGGGGAGCTCTTCACACTGATGTCCGTTTCAGTGATATGGCCTGCCTGGGCCAAAGCGCCTGATCTTAATCTCATCACCAACTTCGTCTACCATGGCATACATCCACAAAGGCCTACCACCAGCCGGCGGCAAGGGAACTTCGAAAGACTCTGTGGATCCGACCATCTTCGTGTTGCAGTAGAACTCGACCAAGCGAGACTCGGGATCCGCGTAGACCACGATGATGTCACCCTCTTGGACGCCGGGAACTTCCGGAGGGTTGAAGTGCTGGTTCCCGAGCAAGAAAGCGGGCATGGTCTTCTTTCTTGAGAAGATCCAGGTTGTGTCTAGGTAAAGGTTCCAGTGGCCTGACGTTAGCTCTGCCTGCCTGTCATAGGACACGCCAAAGGACATCTCATCTCTGCAGCGCACCACTTCAAACTCCACGAAGCATGGCTCCTGAATCCCATGGCGCAAGAAGACACTGTTGGACTCCGGGAAGGCTTCGGTCTTCTTCAGCGTCTGGTATCGATCACCAGAAAGCTCGATGCCTAAATGGTCGGCGCTGAGAAACTGCCCCAGGTCCAAGAGAGGGTCGAACTTAAGAAGCTGCACCTCAATCTGCATCTGATCTTCCTTGAGGAAACTCCCAAGCGTCCTCTCTTCATCCATGCGCTCAGACTGCATTAGCAGCCGAAAGGCGATAGGATCCAGGTCCCACGGCTTCGCAACTGCATCCTTGATGGCTCTCACGGCTTCCGTGGCAGGAAGCTCAAGCTCCAATGAACGTCCCACAAGGTCCGCCACGCTCACTTTCACTGCCATATGGCTCAGTGCAAAGGCTCCTGGTCTCCAGGCGGCTGCTAACAGCTGCGGGTGGAGGACCTCCTTCACTACAGCGACATCGGAGTGCTCTGCTCCTCAGGGGAAACATGCCGAAGACCCCCAAACGGTCTTAATTAGCTCTTAGGTCGGGAGCAGCGCCAAAAGCGCCGGGAAATGATCTGAGTAGCAGCTACGGCTACGGCGACACAGGGTCGTAAGAACAATCGTACTAGTAGCACCAAGGAGCAACGTTCCAAGTTCGGGTCACCTTTGTACTCTTTGCAGAACAGCTTGACCGACCCTAATTAAAGGTAAACCCACACAAGGGCAGCATATTCTGGACGCGTTTGCTTTGCCGTGGCGTAACAAAACCTGTTGTCAACAGCCCAACACAGAGGCTTCTCAGCCATCACTCACCTACAAGAAAGAAGAGAACGCGAGGAAGTGAAATAACTCCAATCATAGTAGCAATTTCCTTCGCGATTGCGGTACCAGGAAACCACAGCTGGGATACCGGCCATTTCAGATGCCGGCCATCGCAAAGTATGACATCGATGCTGATTCTGCTGGATGTATTCTCAATTTGCAAAACATGAACTGTTTCGAAATGCATATGAATAGGGTCTGCCAGGTAGTGCAGATTTAGTGCAGGTAGTCAAGATTCTGAGGGTTCAAGTCCCCCAGTTGGTGAAGGTATCATTGAAACCTGGAATGGATCCTACTGCATAGTTCAAACATGCATGCGATCTGAACCATGCCTCATATGAGTCAGTTGAATGCGGCGGACATGCTCGGAAAGCGCGCGGGCTGTGATGGAGATTGTTCTCTAAGCTGCGAGGCCACCTGCCGTTTCATAAATAGCAGACATCAACTTCGGGCTAGAGGCTTCGTGTTTGGCTCATTTCGATTGCAGGCTTTGTGAACCGAACCCATCTGTCACCAATGCTTCTGCGATCAACTCGTTCAAGCATTCCGGGTCTAGGCGTTGGAGGATGCTTCTGCGAAGCGAAACTTACGTGGCGACCCTCAAAACATGATCACAAGCCCTTCGTTGCATGCTCTTCATGATGATGCGCGGCTCGATCTCCCAAGTTAACCCCTGATACCCCACAATTCAAGGAAAGCTTATATACTTCATCGAACCTGGCTGAGCGTAACGTTACAAAAAATCTACGCCGAGGCTCGTGCAAGTACAAGATCGCTGTAATGGATGCCATATGGGCTACTGTTCATGTGTATAATAGAACTACTAGACTATTTACTACTATTATAGTACTACTATAGTAGTAAGGTTGCTACAAGGGTTTACTTTTAGCTCAGAAAGAAGGGGTCTCAGGGCCAATGGACGTTTGAAGTTTCACCCGGCCGAGGGTTTGGTCCGCAATGTGGGCTTGAGGTTCATTGAAAAAAGTAGAGCTTGAAAGGTTTAGGTTGTATAGGTTTTGGGCTTTCGGGGCTTAGGATTCAGGAGTTATTCGTTAGCCTTGAGGTTCACAAGTTGGAGGCTGGTTTGGGGTAAGTGGCTTGATCTCCTACTCCTCGCATCTTTTGCCGCACTTTGCCGGCGTCAGGGGATGGGGACTTTGTTCGAGGTCGAAGGAGAGACGTAGTACCTGCAGGAAAGCAACATGCAGAGATTTAATGACTCGTGATGTGAGGCTTGTAAAAACAGATCATACGACGCCAAACGGAATCATAGTCTCTTTTCGCATGGCATAGTTCCATAATTATTATCCAGTATTCTTAATTTGTGGTTATGCACTGTTGTGGGTTTCAGGTTCGGCGACGAGGAGAGGCCATAAAGAAGCCCTGATAGGTTTTGAGCCGCCGCTCCATCAAGCTTTCAATTACCAAGGCTTCGTAGAAAGGCAGGCGCCCTACCGAAGTTTAGGATATATGGCTCGACGGAATGATGCGGCGTCAGAATATCAGAAAATGCAAGCCAGTGAGGGACCCCAGTTACTCTGCAAGTACCCGTCATCCTGAAACTATCCGGGCTACCGGCTTGGGGGTTTGCGCTGAAGCCTGCACATATATGGCAGAAGATACACTCAGTGGTCAAGCAACATGTTCCTGCATGTACACTCGCATACATCTGACAAAGAAGATACATCTACATATGGTCGTAGCCGCAACCTCGCCTTTCACCTCAGTTTCGATCCTTCGTGGGCTACAGTCGGACTCGTTGGGTATCGCTCTGAGCTTGAAATCCATGTAGGACTCTTACTTGTAATGACCCTGTCCAGAGTCTAGGACCCTAGGAGGCATGGCAGGTTGCAGTTGGCCTTCAGGGCTGCTGCATGTGCGCTGGTATGGTTGGTAGCAGGATACGCGAAAGTGAAAATTGATGACAAAGCCCCTGTTAGGAAAAGGGACCGGCAGGAGGGCGTTCGGATCCCGAGCGTTTCATTGCCTTGTCACAATCCCGAACACCCATGTTCTCATGAATTCAACCAATCTACAGCCTGGACCTTCAACCGTGAAGCCAAAAGTCGAAATCCAAATCATGACAATCACTCCTGCGCCAGACTGCCCAGGACTGGCCTCACGCCCTCGGGCGTCTGAAAAATCTTGACCGTGGTAGGCCCATCGGGTGGACCTTGAAAGCTGGTTTTGGGTACAACATTTGCAGGAGGGGAAGGGATTCTGAGGTTAGGTCCAGGGCCATCTCGGGCCAGGAGGGCATACGGTATAGGGAGGAGGATGTGATTGTTAAATCTTCGTGAATATATCTACATGTGTCCCGCAGGCTTGATCGATTCTCAATGAAGTCAGTCAAGGTGTGCTCCATCCATGCGTCTACAAGCCTGCAAGTATGCGCGAAAGACTGGCTGTATTTCTACATGATGTTTCATGCGAACATAATGTTAGAGCCCCCTACCGACGACACAAGGCAAGCTTTTTCATCTTCGACGGAGCCCTGTCAACGTGCCAAACCAGTGACGAGGCTGCCGTCCATGTCGAAACTGCAGTCTGTTGCGCAGGGAATCAAAATTGTGGCCCAAGACCACAACTACACTGGAAGAACAAACGTAGCGAAGTGCGGGCACAACGAACCCAAGGTTGCATTGCATCGGGTATACTCCTGGATGAGAATTAGAACAGACCCTCTCTGCTGCGTGAGCGGACTGGAGACATCAGGGTGTTGATGCAGATTTGCTCGGAGTGTCGCATTTCAACCCTCAGCTGTATAACCTTGGAACGCGTGCACCGCACTTCAACATGCAATGCCTGGGCAAAGGCATGATCAAGAAGCTGTGTATAGGCACAGGTCATGAAGCCGTGCGCTGAGCTGCTTGAAAGCGCCGCGGAACTCTACGAATTCAATCTTGGGCTCTTAGCACATCTCTCGGTATCTAGAGTCGTGCTACATAGCATAAGGCTCAGTCCATATACTCACCCGCCGCTGTGTCCGGAATTGAGTCTCCTTCATCCATCTGATCGGCCGCCTCCTGGCCTCTCCCGCGGACGCTGCGACGATTCTGCAGCTTCCTGTGCCCCTTGCTGAGGATGCAGGACGGGCTGGAGAAGACGGCCACAGGCAAATCGGGGTTGAACACGATCTTCAGCACCTTGCACTCCGTGGGAAGCGTCTCTGCGATGGTGAGCGCAACCGGCTCCCCGGAATCAAGCATCACGAAGTCGCCCACCTTCAGCTTGCCCGCGGGGATGAAACGAGGACATCCCGCCTTGTCGTGTGCATCAGGGACCTGCACGGGATGGTCCGGGGTCACCCGCAGTGTTGCAGCGCCCGCCTGCAAGTCGACCACTTTCCTAGTTCGCGCTTCTTTCGAGATCTCGACCACCTCCAGAACGGTCTCGCCATCGCCAGCCAGGACCTGCGACCCCTTCTGGAGGTCACTGCCCTCGCGGAAGACGTCCATGCGGCTCCTGAAGATGGCATCCAGCATGAAGCAGTTCTGCTTCACCGAGCAACTCGAGGATCCACTTAGGACGGAGGCGTGGTCTGCATCCACCAGGCTGTACCCCAGCTGCTCGGCAAGATCCGACTCCTGATCACCGAAGGCTGCGTCGTTGCGAGCTGGGATGCGAGCATTCAGAGTGGGATGACGATGATGATGGGGCTCTTGCTTCTTCCTCTCGGCAAGCTGGCTAAGGCGCTCTTGGTACATGCCCCTCTCTTGCCACAAAACCTCCAGCTGACCACGGGCTTCGGCAAGCTGCTGCCGGAGCTGCTCACACCGGTCCTGCCAGACGGCTTTCTCGACCTGCGGCTCCATGCTTTGCCCCACCGCAGCCCTCTGACAGCCGTCCTTCAAGCGGAGATTCTCCTCCTGCAGCCGCTGCAACTCCAGCCGCTCTTCAGCGGCATCGGCCTCGGCCTGCGCCAGATGCTGCCTCGTATCGGCGTGCTCGGAAGCTTCTGCCTCAATGCACTTCGCAAGCTCTTCGCAGTGCTCCTGGCACTTGCTGTGCTCCTCCTGCAACTGTCGGAGCTCCATCCGCATCTCTGTCACTGCTGCCTCCCCAGCTGCGGCTCGAGTTGCAAACTCCTCGCACTGCTCTTTGAGACTTGCACTCTCGTTCTGCACAGTTCGGAGCTCCGCATCCTTGCTGGACACCTCCGCCTCCGCCGTGGCCAGGCGATTGCGAAGATCTCGACACTCCTCCTGCGACTTCTGGAGCTCCGCTTTGAGGCGCCGGCGCTCAGAAGTCTCCTCCTCGAGCTTCTGCCGCTTCCGCGCCGTCTCCGAGCTCTCCACCGCCACGAGCCGCTCCGCGAGCTCCCGGCAGCGATCGCCGGGGGCGCCGCGCCGGTACTCAGCCGCTATCCGCTCCCGCTCCGCTGCTGCTGAGCGGAGCTGGCCTCGAAGGAGCCCCGCCTCGGAGAAGCGCCAGTGCCAGACCCACTCGTACTTCCCGTCATCGGCCGCCCCGTGCCGGAGCAGCGCCTCGCAGAGGCGCTCCGCCCTCGTCGCCGTCTTCAGCTCTCCGAAGCGCTCGAGCCAGGCCTTGGCCTCCTGCGGCTGCTCGGCCCAGAGCTCCACGAGCCGACGGCCCACCACCTCAAGAGCTCGCTCCGGCTCAGCTTGACCTGCAGCATAAGCAGCCAAGTGGAGGAAGGCGTCGATGACGGTCGCCAGGGGCCAGCCGGCAGGGACTTCGGTGAGGTCATGGAGAAATTTTGCTTCGGACAGCTGGGGCATGGCGGTGACTGTGCCTCAGCTGCGAGATGGGCACGCGAACGGGTGACCTCTAAGATTTTCCCTCGAGCTCTGCTTGCCTGGGCCCAAACATGGAAAGAAGCACCCTATTGCTCATAGATCGAACTCTCAAGGCGCATCTTCGGGCCGACGGTTTCGAGAGTCATCTCAATTTGTGACCAAACCCTAAATCCCGCCTGGAACCGCTCCAACAACCTGCTGTTGTGTTGTTACGGTCTTGAAAGGAAGCCCCAATGCTTGTAATTACACTTTCTGGGGACCGCAACTTACGAATCTCGGTGAAGACATCCTTCCGGACCAAACGACCATTTAATGTCGGGGCCCTCCCAAAGAGGGTAAAATTATACTAGCCCAATACCCATAAAAGGCTATTATTCTACATACTTTTGGGGTCCATGTACAATGAATTCCCTCTATGTGGGAACTGGAACCTAAAACTAGAAGACAATTGGCCCGAAAGCATCATCAGCGAAGAGTGTGGGGCTATGTGATAGATCCAGTGTATAGGATCGTAAAGTCACAGAATCAAGAGTCATAGAGTCCATGAGTCATGAGTCATAAAGTCATAGAGTTGCAGTGACATAGCGTCATAGAGTCGTAGTGAGATAGAGTCAGTGTATAGGATCGTAAAGTCACAGAATCAAGAGTCATAGAGTCCATGGGTCATGAGTCATAAAGTCATAGAGTTGTAGTGAGATAGAGTCACGGAGTCGTGGAGTCATCTTTGTACCATACACTTGACTCGATGTAGTTCACTCTATGCCCTGTGTGTGGGAACGCTTAATCAAGATCCGCCTAGCGTGAGGGCTCAGAGCCTGACTCAACAGGTCAAGTGGCAACTTGTCAGAGGGATTGGCAAATGCATAATATATGGATACTATACATATAAATATATATATATATATATATATATATATATATTATATATATGGAAATGTGCCTGGCCAAGAACTGGCCACTCGTCCTTGGCATTCCTGCCTCTCAAGTTATGAAGGGTGGAACGCCTCACATCGTCCTCATTGTACCAGCGGAAACACCAGCTGCGGAAAATGGCGTTATTGCAAGAAGCTTCACTGACTTCACAATAATAGAGCTGCGAATGAGGACAGAGTCACAGGTGACTGACTGGTCTCTGATCAGCCATGGCACATCTTAAAATCTTCCTGAAGACTTGGCTTTTTTTACACACACGCACATTCTTCTCGTGTTTGGGTCGTTGCTTGCTTGCTCTTTCGCAAGACAGCGTCGAAGCAAGCAAGCAACGTCCCAAAGACCGGCATCGGAGAGGCGGCCTGAGGAGGTGCCGGGAGAGGTCATCCCAGGGATTACGGTGGTCCGGAGCCTCGTGAAAATGGCTGATTGTAGTTGCAAAGGTTCGTCGGGAGCCCCGAGCCTCCATAGCACGCATTATACCAAGCCAGGGTATAGGGGTATAGTATCATGGAAGAAGAAACATAGCGGCAGCTGACAAACATCCCCAAACGGAAGCCGCAACACTGGTCTCTGAAAGGAGTCGGGAATTAGGGTTTCGCTCTTCATCTCAAACCACAACAGGCCAGCGTATGTTACTTAGCCGATTCAACAGACTCCAGGGGAACGCCAGGGGCTTATGGGTCCTTAGGCCTAGTAGTAGGACTAATGCAGGGATCATGGTGGTCCAGAGCCTCCTCCAGAAAGATTGATTCTAGCTGCAGACATTCATCGAGAGCCCCAGGCTTCGGTGACACCCTGTGTATCAACCCAAGGTATACTATCTCAGAAGAAGAAACCCGGCGGCATCTGGCAAACATTCCCAAGCGGCAGTCACAACACGGGTCTCTCAAAGGATGATTGGGGATTTAAGATCTATCCTATACCACAAACGGGTCCACCTCGCTGAGCTGCTGCGCGATCCGTGGCGCCGGGATTCCAGCAGCGAAAGGCAGTGCAGTCATTAGGGATTTGGAAAGACACCGTTCCGAAGTGAAACACCTTACTTCACCAGGAAACCCGCCAGATGCCGCAAAGTATTTAACGTGCCACGCAATCGAGGAGCTCCTGCGTCTCGATGAGCCTTTGTCTGCTCACAGGACGTCGCGGCCAGGAGGAGAACACCGAGGCATTGGGAATCACTACGCTTCCGCCGCACCAATGTACCAATGCGAGCACTTGAAGTTGCCGTTGACGGTTCGCCCATCATAGTTCTCGCTCGGCAGCCTTCGATTGTCAATCGGCCTGAGACGCCCACGGTACCTCACAACTTCATGGTGCACTCCTGCTCCGTTGACGGATCCATGTGCTTCATAAATGCACGCTTCGTGCAATGCGTTGTCTCTTTAGCACACACACACACACACACACACACACATACACACATACAACTGGTTCGTGGGAGTTCGCAAGATCAAGTGAGACCACAGAAGCCTGCGATTTGACTTCGATCTATGCAGAACAACAGACCTTACACTGCATCACGAAGCATTTCGGAGTCGGGTTGGGGGTGGAGAGCCAGCGCGGGAGGAACCTGGACCTAGACCGGATTACTCTTCCCAGGCGACCCTCCCCGGCCTTCGTCGTCAGCATCGGAGAGGTGGCCTGGTGAGGTGCTGGGAGAGGTCATACACGAGTTACGGCGGTCCGGAGCCTTGTGAAAATGGCTGGTTGTAGTTGCAAAGGTTCATCGGGAGCCCCGAGCCTCCATAGCACGCACTGTACCAACCCAGGGTATAGTATCATGGAAGAAGAAACATAGCGGCAGCTGACAAACATCCCCAAACGGAAGTCGCAACACTGGTCTCTGAAAGGAGTCGGGAATTAGGGTTTCGCTCTTCATCTCAAACCACAACAGGCCAGCGTATGTTACTTAGCCGATTCAACAGACTCCAGGGGAACGCCAGGGGCTCATGGGTCCTTAGGCCTAGTAGTAGGACTAATGCAGGGATCATGGTGGTCCAGAGCCTCCTCCAGAAAGATTGATTCTAGCTGCAGACATTCATCGAGAGCCCCAGGCTTCGGTGACACCCTGTGTATCAACCCAAGGTATACTATCTCAGAAGAAGAAACCCGGCGGCATCTGGCAAACATTCCCAAGCGGCAGTCACAACACGGGTCTCTCAAAGGATGATTGGGGATTTAAGATCTATCCTATACCACAAACGGGTCCACCTCGCTGAGCTGCTGCGCGATCCGTGGCGCCGGGATTCCAGCAGCGAAAGGCAGTGCAGTCATTAGGGATTTGGTAAAAACACCGTTCCGAAGTGAAACACCCTACTTCACTAGGAAACCCGCCAGATGCCGCAAAGTATTTAACGCGCCAAGCAATCGAGGAGCTCCCGCGTCTCGACGGTGGCCAATCCCTGTGGAGACTTGCAGACGGTGCCACCCCTTGTGCTAGCGGCGCTCCACAGGAACCATCATCCGCGCCATCGCGGCTGTCATCATGCTGATACCACCAGAGCAGGTCCAAGCCTCCAAGCGGCCACATTCTGTGGCGAGGCAGCCAAGATGACTGCAGGGCAGAACGTCAAGAGCCAGCTTCTCGTTTGGCCAGCACGACGGACTCGCGGGTTGGACAAGCCGCGCATTTGGAGTAGTGCTGCCTAGGCGAACACAACGGACTCGCAGGTTGCTTGCACAGGCCGCAGGCACCGTCCCGCCAAGACAAGCCGCGCATTTGGAGTGGTGCTGGCTAAGCTCGTCTGAAGGGTTGCAAAGTGTGCCATCTCAATGGCGACTTCTCAAGAGGAAGAACGGATCATTCAAGAATCCAAACAGTAGCAGTGGGCAACGAAGCTAAACCGGGACACCGGGTTGAGCAGAACCCCGAAGACCTTTCGGCCACACAACGGAAATTCTGAACTTGAACCAACCAAGCCCAGCAGTCCGCAGTGGGAAACTCAGGAAATGAAGAGGTTTCTGTTAGACCGACCTTCCCAGCCTCGACGAATCCAAAGCGACCGGGCAGTGCAGGCAACCTCAGGAGCAGGGTTGCCCCGCCCAAGCAGCCGCACTTTCGCAAGACAGCGTCATTCTGCCACGAGCAGAAGAAACAACAAACAAGCGATTTTCTTCTCGTGGCGGCGTCGTTGTTGCTTGCTTGCTCTTTCGCAAGACAGCGTCGAAGCAAGCAAGCAACGGTGGAAGCTAGCCAGAGCAAAGAATTCACAGCCCGCGCGGCTCACCGTGGAGTCAAGGGCCGCGCCACCCAGTCGCCCCAGCTCACGACTTGGTCGTTGTCAAGAACGGCAGCAAAACCAAGAGCGGAGGCTGCGATACCCCGCACATTCTTGAGCTGATCTCGCACGGCACTGCTGTCGCCACCGCGCTCTGGGAAGCCCCATGATACAACCGTGCCGTCGGCCTTAATGGCAGCGAAAGCATTGAAGTTGCTTGCGATCTGCTCCACATCTGTCAACTGATGTTGCACTTTGCTGCTGTTGCCACCATGAAGGCCACAGCCCCAGGTTACGACGGAGCCATCGCGTAGAAGCGCTGCAAAGGCTCCGCGGTTACTTTGGATTTCTCTAACGTCCTTCAGCCGTTTCTGCACTTCACTGCTGTCCGCACCAGAATATCGAGCCCCACCCCATGTAACCACGGAACCATCTGTGCGGATCGCTGCAAACGCATGCGTCGTCGATTGGATGGCCGATACATTGCACAACTGTTCCTGCACCGCGCTAGAGTCGCCTCCGCTGAAGTCTTCACCCCATGTAAAAACGGATCCGTCGGTCAGAATGGCTGCAAAAGCCCTCGATGAGGATTGGATGGCGGTGACGTTTTGCACAGGCACAGAACTGCATTTGCCCCAAGTAACGACAGATCCATCGTCGAGCAGCGCCGCAAAGGCTTCTAGTGACGCTTGAATCTGCCGCACGCCTTTGAGTTGCTTCTGCACTCCACTGGAGTCGCCTCCGTGTACACATCTTCCCCACGTCACGACAGAGCCATCTGTGCATGTTGCCGCAAAAGCATCGCCGGTGGTCTGGATGGCCTGCACGTTC